TTCCCTTTTTCGTCTACCATATCCGCGGTAAAAACGGTAAAAATCGATAATTTTCGTTTTTTACCGTTTTTACCGGGGGGTGCCCCTTTTTCGTCTACTAACCATATCCGCGGTAAAAACGGTAAAAATCAATAACTTTATTTTTTTACCGTTTTTACCGGGGGGGGCGCCCCTTTTTCGTCTACCATATCCGAGGTAAAAACGGTAAAAATCGATAATTTTCTGGGTTTACCGTTTTTACCGGGGGGCGCTCCTTTTTCTTCTACCATATCCGCGGTAAAAACGTTAAATATCAGAAAAAAAAAACTTTTTGTTTAACATTTTTACCGGGGGGGCGCTCCTTTGTCTTTTACCATATCCGCGGTAAAAACAGCAAACATCGATTCTTTTTTACCGTTTTTACCGGGCGCTTCCTTTTTCAATACCATATCCGCGATCAAAACGGTAAAATTAATTGTTGTTTTTTTTGTACCGGTTTGATCGAGGGGGGCAAACGGGTCTATATATGTTCTTTTTTTTAGTTTTAACGGAGGGTCAGCGCTGTTTCTTCTGCCATATCCGCGGTAGGTAAAAATCGAAAGTTTTCGATCCAAGTGATGTAGGCTTTCATTGCCCTGCAAAAGTTAAAAGTCATGAAATTTTGATCAATCACCAAACTCCTCTTGTCGAAAAGGGCACATGCTCCTATATGATAGGAGGAGTGAACCCCACCTGGTTATAGGAAGATACCCGGGCTGTAACATTAAACCTTTTTGTTGACAGAGGTCTTCTAGCTTGCGACCTGGTCCGGAGGCATTCTCGCGGTAAAAAACGGTCCAAAGTGAAAATTTTACTTTTGTTGTTTACCTTTTTCAATGAAGAGTCGCTTGCTCTTTTTGCTTCTACCATATCGTTAAAAATCAAAGTTGTGGTATTATCCGTTTTTGTAGGTGGACTTGTCCATTTCCTTTCTACCATCTCCGTGGCAAAAACGGTAAAAATCTTTGTGTTTAATCTTTTTTACTGGGGGGCGCTCCATGTTTAAATGTCATATCCGCGGTAAAAACTGTAAAAATCGAACATGTTCATTTTTTACCGTTTTTACCGGGGGCGCCCCTTTTTCTCTACGATATCCGCGGTAAAAACGGAAAAAATCGAAAACCTTCTTTTTTTACCGCTTTTACGAGGGGGGGGCGCTCCTTTTTCTTCTACCATATCCGCGGTAAAAACGGTAAAAGTCAAAACTTTTCTTTTTTTACCGTTTTTACCGGGGGGGCGCTCCTTTTTCTTCTACCATATCCGCGGTAAAAACGGTAAAAATCGAAAATTTTTGTTTTTTTTACCTTTTTTCCTGCGGGGTCGCAAAAGGATACCCCTTAGCAAAACAACGCTCGCGAACCAGCTTAGTGAACGGCCCCCAAGGCCTGGGCTGACTTCAAGGCCAGTGGTGGAGTGGAGAAGCAGAGCGTGGCCCCTCGACTGGGCAACATGTGGCGGTTTGGACACATCAAAGTAGGCATAAGACATAAGAGCCTTTTTTATCCTTTTTATGAGTGATGACCTCCAACCTAAGAGCGATGGCCTCCAACCTACTAGCAATGACCTCCAACCTCTACTAGCGACTAATAGCCATGGCAACCCACTGTTGATGGCCTCCAACCTATATAATAGGCTTTTTGCCCGACTTTGCTTTGTGTTTTGACCTAAGATATCTAAGATCTAGAAAGACCTCATGAGCGCCTAGCTTTGCTCACAGCTTTGGGTCCAGGAAATCACGAATCATGGATGAACGCATCGATGCAATCCAACCGAAAGCGTTAAAGAATCCAAGTGAAATAGCTGGAAGGCCAGGGCTTTATTGCACCACAATCAATAGGGTAGACCATTCACTTTTGTTTCTTGTTGTGAGGCCACACTATTTTTTGCTGGAACATGTCTATATATCAAGTACAACACCAGCAATGCGGCAATGCAGTAGTTGAGAAGTCAGTTGACGTGACTGTGCAGGAGAAGGCAGAGAGCACATCGCTGCCTCCCTGGGCCTTCCAAACAGATCCCACTGGAAGCTCTACAAGTCCCTCACCATGTGACAGGGTTGGGGGGAGGGCATGACAAGGCTGATAGTTCTTTAATACGAAACTAGTCCACATAGTGGGTGGACATCTTTCGAGAGATTGCAGAGCTGTGCAGAGCTCATCGATAGATGGAAGGGCTCATCATTTAAAAGCTCTGAGACTGCTGCCATGATGGCCATGACTTGGAAGCTGTTAGCTTTGATGTAGGAACATGTAGGAACTCCGGAAGTGCTTTCCCAAGTCCTAGGAGCAAGAACCTACAAACGGAGCAAGGGCATCGCTGCTAGTAACAAAGGGCATCGCTACGTTCGTAGCTATTTGCTACTAGTAGTAAGGCCAGGAGCCTCCAGTAGCGTCCTTGCTCCTAGTAGCGATGCCCTTTGCTCCTAGTAGCTATTTGCTACTAGTAGAAAAAGTAGCGATGCCCTTTGTTCCTACTAGCGATGCTAATCTGACCAATCAGTTAAGGTGCTGCAGTGCTGGTCAGTGTGGATATCAAGGCGTGGGTGGTGGAAAGGAAATCAATTCACAGCAAGAACACTGTCATGTCTGAAGAACTCTTAAACTCCTTGGAATCATCAGTCTCCAAGTCAAGCTCTTTTTTAAAAAAATAATGAAAGTCTTTCTAGTTCTTGTGAGTTGCAGACATGTTTCTTTTGGTATTTTGATGCATTTTCTGTCATTTTCGGACGAACACAGCATGTCTATGTGCTGAGATATCCCTTCCCAAGCGGGTTTTTTTGCACTGCCAAGTGCCGCAGTGAAGTCTGTTCTTGAAAGAATCACGTCTTTCAACAAACAAGAAGCACTAAAAGAAGGAACGAATAGGCTCATAGAAGACAGAGGTTAAAAACATTCAGGGAGATGGACTCTTTGAATCCTCTTTATGTGGATCCACTGGCCATCTCATTCCCCGGCATCTCAGGAGGATCAGATGGAGAGCTTCCTGAAAGTCATGGAAGCTGATGCCACAAATTCCAGAAATAAGGACTGAGGCCTGACTCACAAAAAGCCGCTGTACTGGTGCAAGAAGAGCTGAAGGATCTCAGGCTGAAGTCCGGTTGTGTCTCTGAGACTTTGAACCCAAACCAGACCAGTCTCAACTCCCTCGAGCTAAGAAAGCTTTGGGGTTCACCATTCGGGCAAGGAGATTGAGCCTGGCTGCTTGCGCTTTGACCTCCTGAAGGACCGGGAGAAGAAGAACAGATTCTACTTCTATGAGGTCTACGCGAGACTCAGCTCTCCAGATCAGTGACGATCCTGATCCCCAGAAAATCATTTTTGGACCAATTTTTGGATGGTTCTCTGGACAGCCGGACATTACAGGGTTTTGGTTTTGATGGAGATTTGTAATGCCACCGCAAGAAGCAAGACTTCATTCTGGTAATGAGCTGCGTGCTATGAGATGGTCAAGAATGAATTCCTAAATGTAGACCATGGATGCAGACAGCAACAACCTGCTTGCATGCAGTTCTGGTGCAAGCAATCTCTCGGCCAGCCGTCGGGGATTTTCTTACCTCACTTCTAGAACACGTGTTGCACGACAGAAGCCCAAACAAAAAGACCTACTCTCGAGCAGCTTTTATCCCAGAGTGCTTGGTAGAGCAAAATGCCTGGAAAGACTCTGGAAACCGAAAGGAACCAATCATCTCTCGATCGAACACACGGCGCCTTCGCTTGTACCGTATGATGCAAGCATCAACTTCCGATCTGAGGAACGATGATGCAATTGCTCAGCATAAGACCACAGCGCACTACAAGGGCTGGGCTGATTTCAAAGCGGCGGGTGGAGTCGAGAAGCAGGAGGTGATGAAGCTGGAGACAGCGGCTTGGAAGAAGCCCCTGTTCCACAGTCACATCACACAATCTGTTAAGATGTTCTCTTCTCAGGGCAGATGATGTAGGAGCAAGGACGCTGCTAGGGGCTCCTGGCCTTACTACAAGAAGCTACTAGGGGCGCCTGGCATCGCTACGAACGGAGCGATCGGACGCTACTAGGGCAGATGTGGTTTCAATCTTAGATATGATTGCACCAAGTTCGGACCGGATTTTGATTCAGAGTCCATTGGGAGCCCAGCAAGCTGTGTAGTATTGGACTGCTGAAATCGGCTTTAAAGGCGTGCCCATAGACCCATACACGAAGAGATTAGGTGTAGAAAGTTGTTTTTCGAACAATTGGATCCATTTCCGATTCGAGAGAATAGCTTACATGAATATATTCCTTGGAGCTAAGGATGGTCATACCAAGGATTGCGATAAGGTTTGCTTAGTTGTTCCGACGAGGTTCATGAGGTTTCTTCCTGGCGCAACACCCTTTGGGTTTGCATGATTTGTTTCTTCTTTTTCTTGGCTTCTGACTAACCTGAGGCATCCATTCCTGGATCTTGGGCGTTGCAGCCTTGATGGAACGCACATCGCCGCCCAGAGTTGGGAAACTTGGGTCACGCTCCAATCCCCACCGAATTGTCAGATAAGAATCGCATGCTTCATCCATATTTCATCATGTCATATTTCCATATTTTTTGACAGGCAGAGATTCTCAACGCTGCCAGCGGTGCTGCTGGTTTGTTCACATCTAACGTTGGATCTGAAGGACGAGGAAAAAAGACGCTGAGATTGGATCTGAAGTTGACGCCTCGAGAGAATGTGGGGGGTCTCAAGGTTCGGTGATGGTCTAAACCGGCAAGTCTTTAGCTACTTGAGTGACAAAGCTTTATAGATTTTATAGAGAACCTAGTAGCGATGGTCTCCAACCTTAGTAGCTTCTTGCTACTAGTAGTAATGCCAGGAGCTACTAGTAGCGATGCCCTTGTTAGTAGTAGCTTCTAGTTCCATGACAAAAACCTCCTTGACAAGGTTTGTTCCTGTGAACACTCGTGTCAACACAGAAACGGCAACACGAGCAGGTTGGAGCTTCGCCCCTTTGGACCAACTCGGCCTCGCAGGAGCTTCGGATCTCCTGTCACTTCCTGGCCGAGCGGGTCTCGGCGGAGGCGTTGACCGGGAAGATCTCAACAGTCACCAAGAGCCTCCAGGCCCTCACGGGCCATTTTCGCGCCGTGACGGGACGTCCTGAGTTCGTTGTCATCCAGACAGGCGACGCTATCGCTCTTAGGTTGGAGTAATATTAGGGTGGAATAGGGTGGAGGCCATTGCGATTAGCTCTGGAGGCCATTGCGATTAGCTCTATTAGGGTGAAGGCCACTGCTATTGGGTTGGAGGTCATCGCTATTGGGTGGAGGCCATTGCTAGTAGGTTGGAGGTCATCGCTATTTGGGTGGAGGCCATTGCTATTAGGTTTGAGGGCATCGCTCTTAGGTTGGAGGCCAACGCTATTAGGTTGGAGGCCATCGCCATCGCTATTAGGTTGGAGGCCATCGCTATTAGGTTGGAGGCCATCGCTATTGGGTTGGAGGCCATTGCTATTAGGCTGGAGGGCATGGCTATTTGGTTGGAGGCCATTGGCCATTGCTATTAGGTTGGAGGCCATCGCTTAGGTTGGAGGCCATTGCTATTAGGTTTGTTGCTGTTAGGTTTATTTGGGGCTTAGGGTTCCGTTCGGCCTGTTCCAGATGTCGTGCGTCTTTTTGATTCATGTTTGCTTTGGAGGCTCTCGCAGAGTCAGAGACCTGTTCTCAAGCTGCTTGGTGTTTTTTAGGCTCCGCGTTCAAAGGCTGACAATGGCAACCTGGTAGAGGCAATGGTAGAGACAAAGTAGACACCACAGGATTGTGCGAACTTTCTTTCATCAGTTTCACTTTTGGCACCGAATTCTTTTCGTATGCGAACTCAGGAGCGCCTTGATGCTCACCTGGCGCGCATCAAGGCAACTGCGTGACGACTTCGAAAGAAGCCAAGTGATGTTCCGACTTTGCAACTAGACATGAGCCGGACATGAGCTCTTTGGTGTTAAAGTGAGCTACGAACGATATAGAACGATATAGTGAGCTACGAGTGTCATTCATGACTCTTGTGACTCAGACGTGATTCTTGTGTCGTACGACGTCTCTTGAGTCTGGATGCCAAGACGTTAACCAGATCGACACGTATGCCGTCAAACATTTGTTTGCTACTAGTATCAAGGGCATCGCTACTAGTAACAAGTGCCTTACTAGTAGTAACAAGGACGCTACTAGGAACAAGTGCATTGCTACTAGTAGCTAGAAGCTACTAGTATCAAGGGCATCGCTGGAAGAAGATTCCCACACGAAGATTTTCACGAGGAACTCTTTCGACGAGAGAACGGCACTCAGGAACTGTCAGGAACCAGAGGTGTTTTCGGAACAGCACCGATGATTTATTAATTGGCTTGCAGCTTGCATATCGTTGTCTTTTGGGTGTTGCATCAAGTGCTGATGAAGCCAGCATTCAAGTGAATAAGATGAACAGTCAGCTGCTGTGCGTGTACTTTTCTCCAGACACCGTTGTGGCATCCTATTCTTCCAAGGCTTTCTTGGGATGCAGATCAGCATCCATGTGATGCCATGGTTTGTGATTGAACAAGGGGAAAATAAAGGATGGAAAAAGGGAGAAGACCTAGCAGAAGACCAAGAAGACATCACTATATAACACAAACATTCCAAATCACCAAGGAAAGCTTTTCGGGGAAGACCTAGGCCTCGGAGACTCGCTTCAGGTCCATCCACTCACCAGACATCGCCAAGATTGCTGGGGCAGTGGGAACCGCCCGTCTGGCAGGTGACAAGGGTGGGATGGGACTGGGAAACAAGAATGGATGTTAGCGCATGTGAGCGCCAACTTGAGGTTTTCACATGTGGCTCCAGCTTGGCTTCAGCTTTCCTGATGACAGAGCTCTACACTTACAATTCTGAAACTTGAGATATTTTTTGGATCCAAACAGTCCCGATGAAGGAACAAGTCTACACTCCACAAGTCTTTTGTGCTCCTGTCATCTCCTGTGCATAGTCTGTGCGCATGCGCGCCTGCGCGCGCATGCGCGGACGGCAGCGCCTGTCAGGAGCTTTTGGCCGAGATGCTCAGAGTTTCACGACGATGTGTTTTGTTCACAGAACAAGACCAGCTCCAAGCTGGCCTACGTACTGTAGTTCAATCGTTCTTTGTCTTGACTCCTGACGTTTTGGTGTTTTGATTTCAATGATGGAGGGGAATTGAAATGGCTTGGAATTCGAAGCATACTTACTGGTTCTTGCCGTTCTTGCCTTGCAAGATGCACTTTAAACGATGCAAATCATGTCAACTACAGCTACTTGCCACATCAGCATCGATGTTGGTTGAGAATTGCGAACAAAAGCATCTGTATGTCCATGCTTTTCCGCTCGAGGTTGGAAGCACCTCCTGGCCGACTTTAAGGCCATCTTGTTGGAGGCGAACGTCGCTGAGAAAGGAACTTCTCAAGAGCGATGTCCTCCAACCTAAGAGCGTCCGATCGCTCCGTTCGTAGCGATGCCAGGAGCGGCCAGGAGCCCCTAGTAGTTGCTCCTAAGAGCAATGGCCTCCAACCTAATTGGGCACAGACGGCGAGCAATTGGAAGTTGCACGAAAGATTTCGGTTTGGAACCAGATCACTGATCGGAGATGCACTGCACTTGACCGGAGGACATCCCATTTGACACTCCTAAGTTACTAGAATCAGAAGCGACGCCAGGAGCCCCTAGTAGCGTCCTTGTTCCTACTCGTCTCGGTTTCGAGAGTCAGCGCTTTGCGGTGCTCTGCGTCGTTTCAGCACCTCATCGAGTTCCGCGAAGAAGAGTTCTACAACATGAGCTGCTGCCTTAGGCCTTGGCTCAGTGGGCCCGACATGTTAGTTCACTTTTTTAAAATATGACTTGGCACGGAACACGGAGAGCCACAAGCAAATGGCAAAAAACTTGGCACGGGCTCTCGAGTTGCATAGTTCGAAGTTTTAGTGACCTGTCAGGGTTCTATTCGTGGCTTGTTGATGGCCCCAACGTTCCCTACCCACTTTGTACATGGCGTCTTTGTTTGGTGTTTGTGCGGAGAAGCATCGCTGTAGTTAAGTTTCCGAAAAAGTCTAGGAACCAAATGAATAGCGCAAGCGCTTCTTCAAGGAAGCTTCCCCCCCGCCTTCTTTAGGGCGGCGGGGGGATCTTCCTTGAAGAAGCGTCTTCGCTCTCCTGCGTTGAAGAACGGTAGTAGCTTACTTGTGGGTACTAGCTACTAGCCACCTAGCTAACCTACCTCTCTGGTCCCCACCTAGCTAACCCCCCTGGTCCCTAAAGGTTGGATCTTTCCAACGGTCTACCTGACTGAGATCGAGCTCGGGAACTCAGCCCCGAAGCGTTTTCGCGTGACGGAGTCGGCTGAAAGGCTCGTCACTCCTTCTTCGCCTTGTGTGAAAGGCTCGTTGGTTCTTGTGCTCAAAAGAAAGGCCGGAGCGTTTTGGATGCCAACACGGCCGGTGCAAGTTTTCTTTTTTCTAGACCTATTGGGCCGAGCCTCTGTGAGGCACTAGGTGGGCAGAAAGAAAGAAAGAAAGAAAGAAAGACACACCTATTGGGATTGCAACAAGGCTTAAAGCAAGGGAGGCACACTGCGCGGGTTTGGACTCTCAGCAAAGCGGCCACCAATGTCCCGTCACTGAGTCTATCATAGGTGATTCATAGATTTCCATGGTGAGGCTGCGTCAGGTGCTGGCTAGAGCAGCAGAGATCCAGGCGAGTGCTACAAGTTGAGCCTTCAACATGGCAGTCCAGTTCTTTTTGAACTTGGGTTGAGTGCTTGCTATTTTCTTTGCAGGCTCCAAACTGCAGTCTCCATGTCCCCCCAAACATGGATGCTAACGTTGAGCTCTTCCTGAGCCTCACCTCAAGGTCTGCCTGAGCAACCAACAATTCGTTCTGAGTACTGGACGCGGAGGGCTGGCAAGTGTCCGGAAAATAGGGGCTTCCGCTTTCTAAAGGTGCTTCAGCCCCTGGGCTGCTGACGAAGATACGCTTGATTTATGAGGCTTACGCCTGACAGCCGGGCGCCGGCCTATTTGGGTTTGGGTATGTGCAGGGCTGGGTCCTGTCTCTCTCTCTCTCTCTGTCTCTCTCCCTCTCTCTCTCTCTCTCGCTCTCTTTGAGACTTGGTGGGGCCTATATTGAGCAAAGTTAAGCTATCTGGTGCGCATCTTGGCCCTAGGTTGGGCCAAGTTGAGCCCATGTGGTCTATGTTGGGCACATCTTGGGCCCAGGTTGAGCCTATGTTACTAGGTCGGCCTATGTTGGCGTATGTTGGCCCCATGTTGGCCTATGTTGGCCCTATGTTGAGCCATCTTGGAGGCTATGTTGGGCATATGTTGGCTGTTGGCTATCTTGGGCCTATGTTGGGGATATGTTAGCCAACTTATGTGCCCAACACCCACGAAATGTCGATTAAGCCTGTCCGCGCTGCACGCACAACCGACACCACGGGCACCCTGTTAGGCGAAAGTCGTGGACGCCGAAGGCCACGAAGCACGGTAAAAAACGATGTTTTTGAACATGTTTCGAACATCCTGCGCAAGATACATATAAATCTGTCGACCGGATTCGGGCGGGAGTCGACACGGGGTCGACCGGGGGTATTCCCGCGGTCGACCAGAAGGGTCGGCGGCAGGGGGCGCGAGCGTATATAACCTTCGGTTACCAACCGAAGGCCTCCGGCAAGGGAACGTGCGCGTGGCCGGCGCCCGGATTTAAGAAACTGGCGCCCTTGTGCTCAGTGCTCTGTGCCACCTCAATTGACCGCATGTAGATTGTTAGTGAAGAACCCCAATAGCCATCCTGCCAAGAAGTCTAGACAACGTTTTTGCAGATCATGGGCTTCTGTTTCTTGAACCTTGACGTCCTCATCCCATCGTAGCAACGTGTAGTGATGTCGCTGGAATGTTTCGCCACACCATGGCAGGTGGGGCTGCGTCCAAGCAGCCTCCATTGCTTGGACGGGATGCGACGCATGGCGGACTTTGTCGTGGAACAGGCATCGGAGCACCCGCATGGCACGGGTTGTAAAGCCTGGAGCCCTAGGTTGACCACCTCGGTCAACCAAGGTTTCCTGGGTTTTGACCCTGACAGCCAAATACATCAAACATATCGAGACCTGATGTATCCGATGTATCGCACAGAGGTCCGCAAAGTATTTTGAGCCGACCGACGACCATTGCCGTGGTATATGGCCTTCAACCTAAGAGTGATGGCCTCCAACCTGGGAGCAATGTAGTTAAAAAGGAGGCGTCCAAACTTTTCAGGACATCACACTTTGATGTAATGTGACCTAGATCTACCTCCATTCCCACGCCGACCCGGTGGTCTGTGCGAGGTGCCACGCTTCCATGCTTCGTTGAGCGAATTCCTACAGCTCTACTGTGAGAGGCTTCGTGCATGAAGTAGGTCTTGCTCGTCAAGCGGGTCTCTTAAAATATCTTAAAATAGGGTGTGTCCCTCTTGCCAGTGGATGAATGTACAAACATCTACTTTCACTAGAGACGAACCCATCTGAACCCAAGACCCGAGAAGGAGACATGCACGGCAACCCCAATCTTGGCAGGTTCCAGGTTTATTCTTGTAGTGGTTGATGGATTCTTGGCTAGGTTTTAGATTCTTGGTACATGTAGAAGTCCCTGTTTGTGGAACTCTGTGAGTGCCAGTGCTCAGGATGACAACTCCTTGATACCACAAATGCTGGATGTCCACAAAACAAACACATGAATCTGCCTGAACCACACAGTATGCAGGCATTGTTAGACACCAATCTAGAATCCGACGCCCAAGGCGTCCATAGCACTTCGAGGCAGCTGATAAATTGATGTGTGGTAGGCAGAGGGGTTTCTCCGACAACCTTGGTTCGCACAGGTGAATGAGTCCTACGTCCTTTTAAGAGCATGCAGCATGTCCAAAACTTCCTTACATTGCACATCGCCCATTTTGAGCTGCTATGTGTCCCAGCACCCTCGAAGTTTTGAATCCCAGCCACAAAAGTGGTTCGGTGTTAATGTGTACAATTGAACAATTGACCCTAAACTCCAACGAGTGCAGTTTGCCGTGGTGGAAATGTGGGCTTTCGCAATGTGTGGATTTGTCATTCAGTCTCTAACAAATTGACCTCAGAAGCAAGGATATTTTGCCGCGTTTAATTTGTTGTTGAGGACCTGCGCAGCATGACTACATTGTACTGAACAGGAAACAGGCTCTTGAAGATATGGCATCAGTCATATGCTTCAGAGAGCAGGCACACGTCCTATGAATCAAGACCCACCACCTGATAGAGGGGAATGCATCGGTAGAAGCCTCCCTTTAAAGAGGGTAGCTACAATTCAGTGCAACGAAAGTGAGTAGATGCATAGTACATGAGGCTTCATCAAATCTCCATGGCAAGGTACTTTGTCAGCCTTGCTTGGGCATTTCGGTACTAGTAGCCAGAAGCTAGTAGGTTGGAGGCCATCGCTACTAGGGTGGAGGCCATTACGCTACTAGTAGCTAGAAGCTAGTAGGCATCCTGTTATATTCAGCATTGCTTGCGCATTTCGCAGCCAACATCTTTACAACGATAGACACACTGCCGTTGAGATTCTATCACATCCAATAACCATTCCGATTCATCTTTGCAACTTCTCGCTGGCAGCATTGTTCATACTTCAGTGTCCACCTTGCTCCTGAAGATTTTCTTCAAAAGTGAGACTCCAGAATATCGCTCAAATGTACCCTCCCCCAGAGAGGTGTTGCTCAAAAAAATCTCAGCCCATGCGCGATGGGCAAAAGCAAAAAGAAGAAATATGTGGGTTCCTGTGGCATCTACGTCTTCTTCCATGACGGACACTTTGGCATGAAAGGGGCTTTCGCTGGTGGCTTCAAACCCTGAGGTTGTGCAACCACAAGGGTGGAGTGTAAAAGTGGACACTTTATTTGCAGGTGTTGATGTTCAAAAGTGTTCAAATCATGTGTAGGAACGATGTTTGCAAGTCTTCGCACTGATTGGGAAAGAATCCTGGCCGTGCTTTTTTTGGTCATGTCGGATTTGGTCGGAGTGTGCGACGTGACATCCATCCTGTTTGGGTTAGCTCTCAATGTCTGAAAACGAACACCTCCGGGAACTGGTTGTTCAAACATACACTTCAAACTGGCAGTATTTCTACTTTTTGAAGATGCCTCCATGGCAAGGAACATCATCTAAAACAAGCTCTTTGGACTTTGGATGCTTCCCCTGAATTCTGTGGGCTTTCGCCTCCAGCCTTTCAACCTGGCCCAGGAGAGGAATACAGTCTGTTGGTTCATCGAAGAAGCAAGCAGGCGGGGCCAGCCTGCGACCAGCCAATTAACCTACTACAGTGCGTTGATTTGGCAACATCAAGAAAAAACGCACAAGCAAAGCTACATGAAACCACTTCCACCGGCGACTGCCTTGACCTCTGACCCGATCAGGTTTCAGAATCGTACACCATCGCTGCACCAGGAGGAATTGTGCAAGAGCTCAGAGGGTAGAAAGCAACCTTGTTTTTAACAACTGGAGCATTGGAACCAACAGGGGTTTTGTCCATTCATCAATATTGCAGACGGGTACTGTTGGTCCCCTTTGATGCCGAAACTGTAGCGCAGCATTGGGGTTCTGCATTGGTGCAATTTTGGGTCTTATGTATTCATAGGTACCTCCTGTATGGTGCACCTCCGGCACGAAAAAGTGCACGAGCACAGATAGTTTCATGTCTTCCATAAACGTGGGCTCGAAGTAGTTGGGTGAAATGCACTCATGGACTGGGAGCCAGTGCGAGAAAAGCTAGTGGCTGCAGCGCTTCGACCTTCTATTTATTTCAAAAGGAACACACCATGACCCAAACACTTGAAATAGATGGACGTTGGCAACTCTGAGAAACCTTTTATGTTTTTTAATGAACAAAGGGTTCTCCTAAGATTTGGTCGATTCTCGGATTTTTGTGCCATTTGGGGTCCTGTTCTGAGGTAAAAGACTTGAGCATTGGCCACCCATATGTAGTGATCGATGGCCTCTTGGGTGGCTGGGCCAAAGCTTTGGCGGAAGAGGCCGATTCTTTGGAGTTTGCTTCCAAACTATTGCCACTCAGCAAAGTTGGCCAACGGTCCCGGGGGGGGTCTGAGATGCAACTTGAACCGTGGCATCTTCCGAAGAGCAGCTTTGATTTGGCCATGTTTGACTCTAAATCCAAGGCCACACACCTTCCAATTCTTTGCTGGCGGCCAATAGCACTTCTTCAAACACCCTGGACGGCGATATCTGGACCTCGATGCGGCACGTGTTTCGGACTTGATATGGTGGTGTTCTGATTTGTCGGTCAGGCTAATGTCATCAGGGCGTGATTGAGTGATTGCATTGATCACCTTCTTGGAATGTGTTTGCCAAGCACTTTTGCTGCTGAAATTCATTGTTTTGACATGTGAATTTGACTGATTTGAACTAGTTTAAGACTGGAAGGTTTGCATTCTTCCTTTTTTTGCGCCTAGGCCAAGAGGGCCAACCCACGTCTCTGACGTCTCACGCGCCACGTCTCATGCGCTTTGCAGTGGACATGCTGCCAGACTTGGTGGCGTCACTGCGTGCTGCCGTGCCGAAGCTGGGCTTGGCGGAGACCGCACCACATGTGAAGTTGCAGTTGACCACCGGCGAGGTGGGGAAGGTTGGAGAAACCGTGGAAGACCGGAGTTTCTGGTGCGAGAAAGCACAAGCACTCCGGGACACAACACACGATGGCAAAAGATTCGATGCTTGATGTTAGACAATGTTCGTTCATGTTGTGGACGGTTTCAGCGTTTTGCTGCAGGTGGGCTGCACGCCTTGTCATTATGACACCTCTTACAACGATCCGACATCGTTGCAGCTCTCAATCTTAATCTACCTCAGCGGCTCAGAAGCAGCTTCTGCAGGGTTCCGCATGTTTGGGGGTGGATGAACAAGTACAAAGTAAATCATGAAAGATTGAGAAAAGACTCTTTTCCCTGCAAACTGCGACAAGAACGGCTTATGGACTACACGTCCACTTGTACGGTGGACAAGTTTTGTGGTTTGCGAGCCTCCCGAATTGACCCGGCTCCTGACCTCTTAGCTCATGGAAACGACATCAAAGGAACAGATTGGTCTGCGTCTCTTGGTCAATCCTGCTTAGGAGTTCCAAGCATCCTTGAGACAGAGGGTAGAGAGCGCAGGTGGTCTGTCTGGAAGAGATTTCGTGGCAAAAGCTTGCGGTCTGTAGAGGAATGGCCATTTGTGATGACAGCATGGAAGCACCGCAGGTGAGGGCTGGTGCCCAGAGTGGGGTGGTGAGCTCCAACTGGTTCCTTTCCTTGAGCCGCCGGTGCTTTTGGATCTTTGGCACAACTTTCTGCAGATGAGTCAATGAACCAGCAGTTTGTTGAGCCGGGGAAAGGGGTGGATGTTCTTTCTGTTTTCTAATCTGGATTTCATCGATCAAGAAAACGACAACACCTGGAAGTACCAACATTTCAAGGAGATATTTGTCAGACCCAAAAGCCAAATTGGAGTTGGTGGGATGACAAGTCTGATGCTCGCCTCATGACTGCCCACTGCCCCTTCTGCCCCTGATCGGTTGAAACCAACCCACCCGAAAGCAAGACTGTTCCCGTTCCCCCTAAAGGGAGTTCTTGCTTCGACCTGCAAGAGTTCTTGTAATTGTTGAGGTCCAAAGCTACTTCAGGCAACGAATCAGCCATGAATCCGCAAAGAGCCGGCCGAGCTACTCGTTGTAGCCCAGATTAGATCCAGATATGGCTGTTGGTCAAAACCCGGAGCCCCTAGCGAGGGTAGGTTGACCTGCGTCAACAGATGATGGGCAACGGTGCCCCCCCTGAGGCGCCCTCGTTCGACCGCTGTGTGCTGTTCTTGGCAGATCGCTGGCTGCACCGCTCCTTACCCCCTCGTGGTCCCGGGGTGCAAAAGCATCGGTGGCTCTTGACCGCATGGCTGGATGGCACGAGGGTGGATGCCCCTTTGCCACTATGGTTGTCTGCAGGAACACATGTTTTGTATTGTTTTGTTGTGTTAGTTTTTGTTTAAAGATGTTTAATGGCCTTTACGTTAAATCTGGTCCCTTTGCAGGTGCCTTTCAACATGCTGGGTTGATGGGGGGGATACTGGAATCACCTCCTAAGCTAAAGGCGCCCAAGACAATGATGTGAAGCTACTGGGTTTCGCTGTAGTAAGAATTTGACGCATGCCGGTGGATGCCAAGAGATTCAGAACACTATGTTCTCAGATAGATTCAGAGCGTGTTCCTACCATGCAGGTGCCCCAGGGGCAGGGTGCCCAGCCCCTTCTTTTCGTGACGCTTGGGCTGGCGTCTGATTTTCTCACCACGTCACCATATTTGATCTAGGAGCAAGAAGCTACTAGGGGCTCCTGGCCTTAGGAGCAAGGGCGCTACTAGGGGACTCACCCGGCCACGCCAAGACGGTTTTAGGTGGAACTCCTCCCAGTTGGCCCCATCACTGCAGCGGCTGCTGGCCCCGGCGCTGCACCGAGAGCTGTACCTGGAGGCCTTGCGACAGAGCTTGCCGCCCTATGCGCTCGCGCGGGAGGCCCTGCTGAGGGAACAGCGTCAGCAGATTGAAGAGCTGGAGAAGGATGAGACACTGATGGGATTCTTGGAATGTTTTTAACATGAAGCATGCTGAATATCATGTGGTCTGGCATTCCAGGCAACAAGAAAGCTATTCACTATTTCACTGGTACATGTTCAGGAATGTGCAGCCAGCTGTGAATTCTAGCGCTTGTTAGAAGGAGAATCCAGTTCTTCTTTGAAGATTGCCTAGCCTTGCCATGAAGTTGTTGTTCTTTTTTTCTCCGGGAAGTGTCAAAAGGCTTAGCATTGACATGGGTTCATGTTGATTGATGTTGCTCTGACAAATGTCCGGCTGCCTTGGTTTGTGCTATTGGTGCTCTAGAAGTGTTACGTATGTCTACAAATTCAAGCTCAAAGCAGGTACATTGATTCATAGCTGGCGCTTGTTTTTTCAATGTAAATCAACACACATTAACTATATAATGATTATGGGCATATGGTCAACAAATACGTCACTAAAGGAGGATTGAACAAATCTGAGGACTGCTGGAAGGCTTGCGAGAGTTGAGAGCGCAAGCGCAGGCCGAGGACTAGCTAGCTCACTGTAGGGCAGACTTGTCATGGCTACTCTAATTTTTCAAGGACGGCACGGTTCCGGGTACAGCTAGAATGGTTGGCTTTCAAGCATAGCGCGGGTTTGAAGTGTCTGCGACGGTACGCTGGCTGGGTACGCTGCATGGTACGCTGCCAGCTGCGAGGATGCCGACGACGCTTCAAAGAGGCGAAGAACAGCCACCGAAGCAGTGCGAAGCAGTGCGAAGTTGAGGCATGGCCCTTCCTCAGGGGCTCCGAATCGAAGCTCTGCATCGAAGTGTTGGTGCAAATTGGAGTTTCAAACAGCAAAAGGCCTTGATGAGGCAACCTGGTAGTATTGTGTGAAGCAGAGTCAACGCTGACATTTTGGGAAGTGGAGGACATGACCACCAGCACGCTCTTGTGACGGGTGGGTGCTTCTCGTGTTCTCCATGCGCGAAACCCAGAGCCTTTCGCTGCGTCGAACATGTTGGGCTTGGAAGCTCGGGCCACAGATGCACACAACGCGGCACGGTGGCAAACTGCGCCGCAGCTTCTAATCATTCCACGTCTTGATAAGCTCGAGCGTGAAAAAGGAGGACTCGGAACGCTCGGAGGGTTCAGGACATGAAGCCTTGCCAAGTGTAGCAAATCAGTGCAAACCACAATTCCTATTGCCTACCTTACATATCCTTACATGACCTGGATCAAAGTCAGTGCAGTTTGAACCAAAACCAAATTCGCTCGTCTTTTCCGACTGCAGCGGGTCGTCGGACACCGGTCCCAGGTCGAACGGGTGCTTTGTGGCGACGGCGACGACCTGAAGCTGGGCGCCCGCCGCACCGCCCTGCGGGAGCTCCGCGAGGAGCGGGAGGCGGTGTAGGCGGGAGGCGGTGAAGCAGGCGGCGTTCGGTGAATCGGTGAATCGGAGCATCGACATGAGCATAGGCTTAGTAGGTGAAATGAGCATCAGCCTCATTTTGTGTTTGAAGTCTTTTGAAGTGCGGAACACGTGTGGAACAGCGTGTGGAACAGTGTGGAACACATGTGGCGCTTGACAAGAATCGGAACTTGACACCCTTTGACCAGGTCTCATACCCGGTGATTCTTGCGCTTCATTCCAAAACATGCATTCTTTCACAGTCATGGTATGGTAGGTGCATGGCAAACTGTCCAGCTTGCTAGGCTAAATGGGTGTTGAGACCAGCAGAAGCAAGGTGCCGAAGTTAAGCTGCATCACGCCACGTCGAGGTAGTAACAAGTGCCACGCTAGTAGTAACAAGTGCCTTACTAGTAGTAACTAAGAAGCTAGTAGAAACAAGTGCATCGCTACTTGTTTCTAATAGCTTCTTGTTACTACTAGTAAGGCACTTGTTACTACTAGCGTGGCACTTGTTTCTACTAGCTTCTTGTTACTACTAGTAAGGCACTTGTTCCTACTAGCGTGGCACTTGTTTCTACTAGCTTCTTGTTACTACTAGTAAGGCACTTGTTCCTACTAGCGTGGCACTTGTTTCTACTAGCGATGCCCTTTGTTTCTAGGAGAGTGGCATTTGCCTTCCCGACACCGTGGATCTCATGGAGCTCCGTGTGGCCCCAGGCCTCGCCGGAGGGGCGACGGGAAGCGAAGCAAGTGGCTGGTGAATGGCGTTTTGAGCCACAGCTGATCTAGGACATGTGAACAAGTGTGTCTTTGTTTGACAACAAATAGAAGGACCAATAAAGGAGGTGTGTTGCGCACAACTTTGCCAAAGGCGGTTACTAGGGATGGCCTGGGATGGTCCCAGCGCTTGATTGAGGAGCCTACTGGGGAGAGAACACGCATTTCAACTTCGCCTTTGTCTTTTCGGCGCGTCCTGAAGTCACTGGGCCTGAACCGCTCCTTGGTGAAAGCTGGGCCTGGCTTTTCTCGACCCAAAAAAACCTGAAGGGGGTCAGTCAGTAGGTCAGTCGGTTGGAAAACAACGAGTTCACCCAAACGCATCGCATTTTCGTGGACTTCCAGCTGAGGGACTCCGTCCACGAGCTGGTCCACGGTGGAATGAGGACCGGAAGAAGAGTTCTTCGTTTCAAGGGCGCGGACTGAACATTGGATCAGAGCTGTTTAGGAAGTTCAGCCTCTCTCATGTTACTCATGTTGGACCCTTTGCATCCCTTTGCATGTTCTATATAGATATGCAATGGTTTTCTTGCGCCCGATTGCATCCAATTCAGTGTCGCGCATCGCTTCGGCTTGATCGCTGGACCGGACTTGAGAAGTCGTGAAGCCAAGTCCGCCAGGATTGGAGTGCCTGCTGGCGATGGGTGCCCGATCTCAAATGGTCAAACTTGGGGGTCTGGGGAGACGGACAATGCATGCGATATCTGTTTGATCTCTTAAATAAGCGCCGTTTTGGGGGTATGGTTTTGGCCGTTCGGAAGTTCCGACTGCGCCAATGCGTTGGAGAAAAGCGACTGTCCAATGAAGGTGTTATTGCTGGTAGTGATGGTGGTGGGTAGTTGAGTCACGTTGAGTCCGCAACCTAAAGTGAGCACAAAGCTAGCAGCTACTGCTTTAGCAAGGGGTGGTATTGTGAGAACACGTGAGACTGCAAACCAGGGTTTGTCCTTGCTGCTACCGTGTCAAGCGATCCTCGCACTTGTGCAAGCTTTTGGGATGGACTCTTCTTTTCTTCCGAGCTGTGGATAAAACTGAAACTTCTGAAGTTTGAAGCAGAAAAAGCTGGCGTCTTGGCAGATGCTCCAAGCAGCCTCTCCCACGTAAACTGGTCTAAAACCGAGGTACCATGCCTGGGTTCACCTGTCTGAGCTGTTGGCTCATAAGGACAAGCAATCCTGCAGCATCCTGCGGCACTGAGTGATATCCAAAGACAGAGCGCATCAACCAGACCCTGCAGCTTTTGTCCTTTCACAAAGGAAGACGGACCCTATCCGGTTGCAACTCAGCTCCGCAGGAATTGATGGCAGCTTGCCGCGATCCCATCATGCATTTCTTGCAGGAATATGGCCAGTGCGACTCCTAAAGCGGGCAGACTTTGTTGGGAGAACGCCCGTATGAGGGGGAGTTTTTGAGCAAAGGATGGGGGCTTTCAACAGTAGAGGCCAGGCTTTTTACAACATCCTGGAAAGGAGGATGTTTAGAGAAAGCAGATGACGTTTTGATCATATTTTAACAAGTTTACACAGATTGTAAGCTGCTTGTGCAAGGATTTGTTGATTATGCTAGGTGGAGGGTATGGACAAAAACCAAAAGAACAACAGAACAAAGAACAAACTATATAAGCCAAACCAAGCCAAACAATCACAGCAAAGTGCTCCCAAAAAACACAAAATGACAGTTTCATGCTGCGGCTGGGTTTTGCCGCAAACATGTTTTCTCAATTGTCACAGCCTGTCACTGGAAAGCTGGAGCAAAGGCAGCTCATACAGTTTGGCCAGCCAAGTTTGGACGCTGCCATCACAGGGCCACTTGTCCCATTTTTCTGGTGGATAAATTGAAAGCACTTGGTGTGGAAATTTGGTTCCCCAGGTATGAGACCCTCCCTCTTGAAGTAGCAACCTCACACACAGCACGCCTGCGTGCTGAGGTCGCCAGTCCCAAAGATGGACGTGAGGTGGGGTGCCTCGACGAAAAATGGGTCAAATCACACCAAGTGTCAATTTTGTTTGTGTATTCCTTCAGTGACGGTGCTTGACTGACAAACTTGACGGAGTAGAACACCACAGAGAGCACCGTACATCTTTCGGACGCATTGCAACAACAGCTTGGCCCTTTGCCCAGCTTAGCCCTTTTCCGGATCTTAGCTCTTTCTAATCGGAGTGCCATCCGCCGCGAGGCCCACGGTCACGGTGCGTCCCAGCTCGAAGTTCAACCGTGCAAGGCTGTTTTGAGCGAACGGTTAGAGCTTCGGCTCGTCAACATGTGGCAAACACCGCTGGGTGTTTTCGGAGGTTCTTGTTTTTTTGGAGCTGTGACGTTTCGTAGATCAGTGGTCTCATAGTTTTTGGACGGTTCCTGATATCCTCAAACGCGCATCCGAAACTACAGAAGTTCTCTCCAAACAGTAAGGAGACCTTTTGCTACCAAAGGAAACATCGTCCTTGGAACTACTTTCACGGTTGTCTCCAACCAATGCTTTGCAGGACTGAGGGCCTCCGGTATCCTGCCTTCCCTCCGCCGAAGCCATCCAGGCGAAACAGCACTTCTCCCGAACAACCGGTCGAGAGACCTCCGGGGAGTCTTTCGGGAGCCCTTGTGTTGGCCTAAATAAACCTAAAAGCAACAAATTAATCTAATAGCAATGGCCTCCAACCTAGTAGCAATGGCCTCCAACCTAAG